GTTGCTGCTGGGTCCTCCATACTCGGACCGATGCCGGTCCGTATATATTTGCTATGCCTCTTTCCCCCACATTTCCAGACCGTTTTTGGTTCGTACATATTTTATTATTTTATTATATTATTTTTTTGGAACCAATTTCGGTCCGCTTATTTCAATTTTTAAATAACCATTTATATTTCTTACTGAAATATGCGGACCGATTTCGGTCCAAATAGTATATATATACGGATCGATTTTATGTCGGTCTGTATATTATATTTTTTAGTACCAGGTTTTTCAAGATCAACTATAGGGACCAAGATCGGTCCGGATATATATATTCAGACCGATTTTTAATATATCCAGACCGATATTTCGATCTGAATATCCGATTCCTACAGTAGTGAGAGTTTGACAAAGAAGGCATGCTCAATGAATTACAAATCTTAAAGAAACAATGTTCAATTTTTGAAAGGACAAAGAGGGGAAGAAGACGATAGAAGACAATAAAAGCTGGAAAAAATAAAACCTGGCAAAAATAAAACCCTAGATCCGACATACCAATGATCTGTTGATCCGAGTGGAATGAGCTCGATTCCCCTTAAACAAAGTTTCGAGTTTGAGCCTTGTTAATGGAGAAACATGCGCTAGGAGAGCTTTCCCCCTACTGAGGTCTGATGCGACTCGATTCTAAATTAGTTGAAACTTAATGTGGTTACTGGATATCGGAAGGTTAATACCAAAAAGAAAAAGAGTTTAAGGGCATAAAAGTAATTTTAAGGTATTTGTCCAGGTGACTTATCCAAGTGGCTTGTCCATCTCAGCATCCATCTCAGCACAAAAATGCCATATTAGACGCAGAAGAGTGGTAGGTGAATGGACTGTTAAAAGCTAATGGTAGGATGGTGCCGAGATCAACAAACGAGATGATTTGCCACTGCAGGTGAGTTGAGGAGATGATCTATATGTAAAGTGGATTGAGGAAGTGATTTGCCACTAGTGGGTGAGTTAAGGGAGTGAACTGCATGTTTTGCCTTTTTAATTTATGTGACATGATACAAGATAAAAATATTATTTTTTAATTAACATATCTTCTGTAATGGGACAAGTTTAAGGGCTTAGGGAATGGTTGTGCGGGGTTTAATTTGCTTGCCTAATACCACTTGATTTTGACTTGTTGACTTCAAGTTTTTCCCAGAGCAAAGAGTTTGGGAACAGTAAGGATGGCAATGGTCCCCACGGGGTGGGACCCCCTTGCTTCCCTATCGTTACAGATGAAGGATACAGAGATCTGAGATTCTCATGGCGATTTTTGACAGAAGGTCAAAGATGTCTTTTACTCCCATATCCGTGGAAAATGGTAAGTTTTTGTGGGTAAACAGATTTTTCGTCATATCTTAATTATATAGACTCTAACTTTAATTTTTTTGGTAAATAGAAAAATAAAAATTTAAAACCATTCAAACAGGCAAACACATTATATGTACAATTTGTTGTTCCTCGAACACCTTCCTTCATCTTCACATCATGTCATTATTGTATCTTAATTATAAAATTAAATAAAATAATAATTAGTGAACTTATTAAAAAATATTGATAAGAAAATATTATCGAAATAGATGTGAAAAGTTTATTTATTTTAAAGTAATTTATACCTTTACGAAAAGTAGATCAACTAGTGCAACAGAGATATATATAGCATGTCATCCCCAAAGTATTATAATTTTATAATAACACTATGAATCTGTACCATCCATAGAATCACCTAAGTCAAAATACTCTTCTTTACCCAATAATATTTAGAAGATAAAGTAAGATAAGAAAATAAAAGAATGTGGAGGAATTTCCTTAGTTGAGCAAAAGACATGTCACTCATAGTTTTGTAACTCTCATTTATAAGTTAATGATAAAAATAAATTGGGCAATTATTATGAAATAATGTGTTTTTAAATAAGACAATTAACATATAACAGTTAGTTTGATCAAATTTTTAATGAGATAATAAATTTAATTTATAAAATATATTATTTTATTTTTATTAAAATATTTAAATTGCAACACAATTTACTAATGTCCAACTTCAATAAATAGTAGGGGTGTTCATATCCGATCCAATCCGATTGATCCGACCTAAATTGATCCAATCCGATTAAAAACCAAACCAAACCGATATAAAATTGGGTTGGTTTGGATTATAAAAATTTAAAACCGATATAATTGGTTTGGTTTATAATTTTACTTTCAAACTGCCCGAACCGTCCGATTATAAAAAAAAATCCGATTATAAGATAACTTAATCAAATAATATAATATTTTTATAATATTTCAAATTTTTTTTTCTTATTTTACAAGAT